TGTAAAAATAATAGAGCAGAAGTTACATTCAAGTCCAAATAGTTTTACAGTCTCTGAGAACCATGAGGGGAAGTCATTCAGTGAGCCGATCAACACAGAAAACTCCTCAAGGCTAATGTTCTCCGTGCTGTTTATAAACCAAATAAGCACACAGAATAGCTTACACACCGAAAAATATTTTCACAGGAGTGTGGGGGAACACGAGCGCACTGGCAGATCAGAAAAAAAGGAGATCACATGTCTTGTTGGCTTGCAAGAATTTAAGAAAAAAAAAAAAAAGAAATTAAAAAGCATTCAAATGGACGTTTTTGAGCTTTTCTTGAATGCGTCTTTGTAGTAATATTATTTCAGAACATCTTGTTCAGTTGCGTGGACGTTGTGCAGCTGTATGGTGCTGTCTTCCAGAATACCTGGCTTTATGTACGTTCTCTTTATATTTCTTCATTTACACTCCACCAGCAGCACCACCCCCCTCCCTCACACTCCCCGTCCTCTCCAGTGGACTGTCACTGGGATAAAATCACACCTGTGCTTCTCACACATCTCGGCACACGGGTGAAACATATGTGGGGTGAAACATGGTGAGGGAGCTTTGCTGAATCTCATTAGCCAAGCAGGTAGTCATTAACAGAATGACCTTTGGAAATAATTACCAGCCTTTCTCCCTCCATCCCTCTTTCCCTGCCTCCCTCCCTTCCTCCTTCTTTTCTAACACTCATCCATCCCTCTGTCCCTCCTGCTCTTGTTCAATAGTTCCATCTAAGCGAGAACAGAAAGAGAGAAAAGAAAAGAGTTGCGGTTAGGTGGGGAGCCAAGTCCGTGCTGCTACTGTTTAAGATTACAAGGTGAGCTGAACTTTCAGATTAGGTAAATCTTCTGGAAATGGGATTGGTCAGAGGTCTTTCGCTGGCAGGTAGGCAAGCAGGCAGGTCACTTCAGTACCAAGAGCCATGTGCCACCGCATGTGATGCCTGAGCCAAAGACAAGATGTGTGGTTCTGCCTGAGGTCATCACAATGCTGTTAGCTCTGCATGTCTCCAACCAATTGTCACCACGTATGTTTACACAAAGGCCTCCATGTAGTACAGCCAAGCTTACACAGGTCAAACACACTGTAGGATAACAGCTCGAACTGGACGTCTAAATAAAAATGGACTTGAAGCTTTACCTCACTCAGGATTTTTTTTTTTCAGGAAGTGAAGGAATGTTTCTCCCCGCCACCAGAATAACTAACGCTTTGGTTGTTTTACAAACCTTCATTCTTTGTCTCAGCAATGAGGAGAACAAGCACATTGTGGAGAGGGGATTTGGCAAAGCCCAAGTGTGTTGTTGGATTTGGGGCCTTTCAATCACAGCATGAGCCAGCCAATGCTGCTTAGGTTTGGGCTAGAGCTGCAATCATCAGGAGGGGAAAGAAAGGATTCTTTCATGTGCCATTGCAATTACCAACCCCCATACTGGAATAATAAATCACCAATAACGACTAAAAGTGATTGTTCTTAGGCATGAATAAAATGAGACAAAAAAGAGAGAGAATGAGCAAGCAACGAATCCATTCTCTGGTCTCTTCCCAACACAGCTTTAACGTTGTTCACATGTCCAGGAAACTGGTCTGGCAAACGGCGAGTATAGGAAATCTATCTGCATGTTTGACTGTTTTATCTTCAGCCAGACTCAGAGTGTGCTGCGGACCTGCCACACTTGGACCTCGCATTGACATCCAGTGATAAAGGATCTGTCTCCGTTTGCTTTTATCAAGCTATGAGAGCCCAGATGAGCTTAGAGCTTTGTCTCTCTGAACATTTGTCTTTAATTAAGAGGACCTACCCTTTTGTTTTTGCAAAAGCTAGCTAATAACAGAGTGTATTGCATTATGTATCATGCAGTCAAGACAAGAGCGGATGATCTGTAAGCTCAACGTAGAAAAAACCCAATGCAAGCATCAGAAAACAAATCATGTTCTCATTTTGTTTGCAATTGCTATTATGTGATCTCACCATTATTTTTTCATTAGGCATCTCTCTTTTGTTTTGTAATTTGTGTTAAGAAAAGCTTTAACTTTAGTTTCTTTCGTGTTCACAGTTATCAGTAGAAACATAGTCTGAGATGGTTTTCGAGTGAGGCATAAAAGACTATTCTTAAAATGATTATCTCTTTATCCCTCTGCCTGTCATTTACTGTACATATATACACCCATAACCTATGCACAGATTTAGGATAATGACATAAAAACAAACATAGTGATAACTCTGGGTGAGTGAAAAACTGGACACCAAAGTACACAATAAAACACAACACTGGACACAAAAAAATAATGGAGGAAGTAGAGAGATCAGCCCCCAAGCCTCTTGTAAACATGCTGTTGCTAGAGAGGCAGTGCAACGTTCTCAGTGCCACTCTCTCAACAACGCTAATTATCAACCAAAGACATGCTAATTACATAGAGCTTTATTGCTAATGTAGCAGGTCTCTATGCCAGCCGCCCACACTTCTTCCCCTACCTCTGCCTCTCCTCCCACTACAACTTCAGGCACAGCAGTAATAGAGGAAGAATGATGCATACATCTCAGTGTAAAGAAAAGAGCTCATGCAAACTTTGGTGTGGCAAATGGTACATATCAGATGTCACAATTAAAATTATTTTGCTTCTCTATGGAGGAACTTCAATGTTGTACAAGTATCGAAATCCATTTCTTTTGTTCTTGAACCTCTTCTCATGGTCAACTCAACAGGAAGTGTGCTTTGCTCCTTCCTCCCTGCAAGCTCAACAACCTACTGCTCCTGCACCTGTGACATTACTTAACAGTGGCACATGCAGTTTGTAGGCAAAGATTTAATGCCTTCTCCACTCCTGCCTCCCAACTGTGATATACACGGCAGAGTCAGCCTATGTGGCCAATCCCTTTTGCACACCCCCATGTTAGGCTTACGGCCTCTTCAAATCAATTTCTCCTGCAATGAATTGCTCAAAAAGAATGGAGTCCTCCGGGGGATCAAGTTATAGGTAGTGCTTCGTAGTATTATCCCCCACTAGGCTCTTTAGCATCTTCTCCTGACATGGCTGTTTACACTTTACCCACCCTCAGCTCTCTAATGGAGATGCCATAAAAAAAGAGCTACAAAGTAGGGAAATCTGGACACAGGCACTTGCTGAAACACGTGATAACTCTCTTTACGGGTTCAGCAGAGGCATCGGCTACAGACGGACTTAAGAGGATGGTGCACAAAAAAGCACCAATACTTAAATAAATGCAAGACTTCAAAAATATACACTAAATCGATTAATGTATTTTATAGAAAGATTATTAGCAAAATTTAAATAAAACAAAAATATTTGCTGTATGAATAATAGACTGTAATAATGCATGAAAAGAGGTTACTTGTGTGTTTTCTCACTTAATGTATGATCTATATCATTATCAACACACTTTAAAACTGACTTTACGAAATGGAAATGATAGTTGAGTGAAGGCTGAAATCAGTGAATATCGTCACCACATTCATCTAAACAGTTTTATGCCTTCAAATGAGGTAAAAAAAAAAAATCTAAGAAACCTCATTTATTTTATTAGATAAAGTCATTTGTTGTCAAATGCAAAGTGCAACCTGGAATGGCCACTGACTAACATGTTTTGTTGTCCACACTAGGTGGACAATGTGTCCGGCAACAACAAATAAAATGGCCCATTTGGTTTTGCATTTGATCAGTCATGCCATAAGACCATATGTGGCATACATTCATTGCTCTATATCTCAATTATTGTTATGTTGCTATTGGTAAAATTGATCCCAAACATACACAAATAAATAAGAAATATGAATACTGTACATGTTTTGACCTGGAAATATGTCTAAAACCCATGATTGCCATTGTTGACAGGGGCTGACTGACAGGCATTTTTGTATAATATAGCAACTTTGAAGCCTTGAGCATTATTGGTTTGCCATACTGAAAGCCAATTTTGTCTGTATGTCTCCTCGCAAACAACTACCAAACTGAATGTTCTAAAACTATACTTGGAGCATGAGTAAAGTAAAAGTTCAACTTTTCTGAATCGCTTTTGTTTAAAAGGTAAAACTCAGATATGGTTCACCGTCTTGTTGTTTGTTTCTCACAACTGTTACATTTGCGTTTAGTCTCTGAAAAGGGGAGCAATGGGGGTTTTCATTCTAGTTTATGAAACATAAACATTTACGTGTCAAACAACAGTAAAATGAGCACAGTTTCTATCTGCAGCCTATATTTGCATTTGTGCACTGACAGCATTGCTTTAAAGATTGCTTTAAGGGAATACCAAATAAAAGGTTTGTGCTTTGCAGGACTGGTGCAGATGCATAATGGCATGGCGTTAGCTGAACCAAGGAGCGAGAAGAGATGAATAAACTTTGTGTTCTCGTCTGTGGCCCACCGGCTCTGACAGAGCTCCTGACTAAATGTTGCATAACAGGTTCACGTTGAGAGCTTAAGGCTTCGTGAGGGTGTAATCGCCATTTCCTGCTTTATCTACCTGCCTAAAAGCTGAGCTGACAGCACTGTTTAACATCGCCTTGAGCCACTCTAGTGACATGTGTCCTAAGCAAGTCAGATCAACAGAAGCACATCAATGGTGACAAGACACTAAGGGCAGGGGGTGGTGATAATACACCACAGGGGAGGGTCTAAATGGCTTGGATCGATAATAGGCTATTAACTGTTGCAAAAAAAGGAGACAATTTAGATAAACTATTTTCTTAAATGCTTTTACGTGTTGCAAGTCTTAAAATACCTTTACTAAAATGATTGATACTGCTACTGAACCCTTGGGGAAGACCGACAAGCTATGGGAGCAATTATTTCTTGCACTCTGTTAGGTGTGAAGACTAAAAAAGAGAAGTAAGGGTTGCTGAATGAGTCACAAGCACAGTAACCATCTGTCTGCTTATGGGTTTGCATGAGCTTGCATGTGCGATTGAGTGTGTGCGCATGTGAGTGCGTATGTGCGTGTTTTTTTGTGCCATACCTCCACAATATCAGAGTTGGTTCTGCTCTCGTGGGGCTCGTTGTACTCAGTGTATTTAAGCAGGACCTTGTCCATGTCTGTGCTGGCATACTGGAACAGCTTGTTAGTGCTGTTGAAGATGATCAGGGCGATCTCACAGTCACACAGCACGCTCAGCTCGTACGCCTTCTTCATCAGGCCAAACTTTCGCTTTGTAAATGTCACCTGGGCAAGAGAGGAGATGGAAAACAAAATTAGCACTTAAGCAACAATTGTTCTTGTTCTTGCGAGAGGAGAATATTTACAATATGTCCTCGCAAATAAAAGGCAAATAAATGGCTTTCAGTGGCAATGTTAGTTGCTTTTGTTTCGTAAAGGTAATAACTGTGAACAAAAAAACCCACCAAAAAAACCCCATCCTGAATCCATTCTACTTATTTTCGGTGAACAAAATACATTTGACATCTTACCCTTTTTATTTAAACTTTTTTTAATTCTCAAAGCATCAGTTAAGACAAGTAAAGCCTTCTGAGGGTTCAACACCTCCTGGTTTTAACAGGCCATTTACTGTACAAGAAAAAAGGGAACTGAAATTGCCCTGTCTCAGTAAGATAACGGTAAAGACGAACAGTTAACCCTTGTTCATTAGAGATCACAGACGTTCACCGTGGAGCATACGTTAAGGTTAAGCATCCCCTTCACATGATTTGAGCATTCTTCCTGCCCCACTTTTTATCCAGCAAAAAGGAAATGTACACACCTAAAACTGTTTTAATTAAATTGTTCAGACATTGAGCCATGCTTCACCACAAACAGCAAGCGTTTGATATAAATAATGGAAAGGTTTCTTGACTGCGCTTGAAGTTGTTTATGAGGTCTTCACTTCTGATAATGTGCACAATGTAAACCGCGAAAAATCGTCTTTGTATCACGGCCAGTTTGCCTCTCTGCTTCTCTCTGTGAAGATACGCAAGTGCATCTGTGTTTGTGAGCCCTAAGATTAGTAGCTCTTGCTACAAAGGCTTACAAGTGCCCACATTGTCAAAATAGAACAGCCTCTATTCCTCTATTGTTTGGATCAAAAGTAGAGCAGTGAAAGTGAGTTCATTCCAGTGAGCTGCACCTGGTTTCTTTTCCAAGCCATTTGTGCAAGCTCTTTAGTTGTGTGTGGAAGAAGAAAAAAGTGCCACTGCCAGCCTTCCTCAGTCTGAACAACACTGCATGTTGGTGGTGGAATTTCCTTTTTATTTTCTTCTGCGCCTGAGTATTAATTACATCGGAGAGCCGTCTTGACAAAGCTTTTTACACAGAGGAAACACTGCCAGAAATGTGCCCCGCTGGTAGCTAACTTTTTAGTTTGTTGATTAACTACACATTTGCCTATTCTCTCTTTAGATGTTTAAGTGGCCCAAAAATACCAACTAAACATAAAATAAAGAAACTATTACTGTGAATATAAAGAGATTTTCATTATAAGCCTTGAAAGAAAAGCTGTTTGTGGTTGATCTAGGTTGTGAATGGATTTTGGCATTTATCTTTAATGCGCTGCTGTTTTTTCTTTATATCTGTAATTGAATATAGGCTTTGAAAGATGTCAATAGTTTTGGATTTCCTGAAATCATATATCCCAGGATGCATCGAGAAAACCAAGTAACAAACGCTTCCCGTTTTTCTTTCCATCTTTCTCCCTTTTAACTAAGAGTGAAGAAAACCTTGCACTAATCGCTTTCACCTGCAAACGTTTTTGGAGTGACAGCATCATGCGGAGCGATGACATCACAACTATCTGTCAGACGATGGGCATAAACCAAAACTGTGGACAGTGTTCTAACGCCTGACAGACTTGTATGTGCAGCGTTGGGTCGTGTACCTGAGTATATTCATCTGATTCACTGACAACATAAGAAGAAATTGCTCCCCTGGGCTCTAAATACCATGGTGACATTTACACAGTCATAGAGAAGTGTGAGGAAAAAAAGCCTCATCCCTACAGTGAAAGATTAAAACTCATTTTGTGACAATGTGATTAATTTTTATTTTCAACCCACTCTATTGCATCACTTTCAAGTGAAATACTAGCACATGATATGGGTTGGAGTTTTAGCAGCCCTCTGGGATTGGGGCTATAATACAAGTTGTGCATTAGCCAATCCAAAAAGACAACAGGATAGTTGAACATAAGGTCAAAATAGAGGATTTGGGAACAGGAAATGTAGAGTGTTGTCTTCCACTGATGGTTTAATGCAAGGGGCAGACACAGGACACAGCTAGCTGCCGCCCCAGCTCTGTTATCAACCGCTCACTCCGTCACTTACTGTGTGCTGCTGGGGCCATTAACGTTTCAAAAGGTGGCACGTGGCGCAATCTAAGAGTCCCACAGCCCCTATCGTCTCAAAAAGAGCTTCACATGCTAGCTAAAAGACTCCTAATGATTGGACAACGTGGACATCAAAATACACACATTTGTGTAACAAACCATCTGGACATTGTTAATCTTATTTCTCATTTCATCGGTGAAAAGAAGACCAGAATCCAATCAAAGTTGCCTTGAGCCTCACACTTGAAATGCAAAACTGCGCACATGCTTTTCCCACGTATTATAATTCACACATAGACTGACTTTAACAGCACCACAGGAAGAGAATGAGTGTGATGGTGAAAAAGCCTTAACTGACCGAACAACAACAGCTACATACAGCAGATATCACACCACACCTCCGTATCCCAACCTGACACGTTCAACCTGCTACCTCCAACACGCGTACTTTAAACGCACCTCCATATTCACACAGGCGGCAATGGAGCGCATGCTAGCTTGAACGAGAACACGCTTCTTTAATAAAAAAGACGGTTGGCTTATACGTGAATGCTACATAGACGACAAATGGCTTGTTTAGTACTTTGTGTGGGATGTGTTAACTTTTATAACATCTCACCTATATAATTTTTATTTTCAGTTCTCAATGTCACCAATCAAAGATAATTATTGGTCTCATGATGCTAACCTGCTAGCCTACTCGTTACTGTTCGAGTCTTAAACCCTAACAAAAACTCATTCACAGTCTTGTTAAAGTTTATAACTAGTGCTCTGAATCAATTTCACCCCCCCCCCCCCCACACACACACACACATATTTATAAATATTTATATACGACAATATAACAGGAGCAGGTAATCGAGTAACAATTTGATTTCAAAAAGTAACTATTTCTAAAAAAAAAAAGTGTAGACATTAAAGACAAAAAATAAATGTGTTAATTTACATTTTCTAAATTTAACCTATAATTTTAATTTGACTCTAGATTGAGATGATGTTGCCTGAGCTTCAGAATGAGTTAAACTATAATAATAAACTGATGCAAACCCCACATATGTTGTGGGTGCACTCATTGACCTTATAGTTAACAAATGCTAATCAACACACAACGTCGTTAATATCGGACAGCCTGACTGTGTGTGTGTTGGTAAATTTGCCCAATGTAAGTATGAGTGTGAACCCGGCTGTGGTTTTTCACACTACATTGGTAAATAACATGTGAAAACTATTTGCACAAATATTGAACATTGACAAAAACAAAGTAAAAACTTCAGGGCTTTGTTTTTGTCCATCTCTGATGCATATTGACTTTTATGAGTGAAGTAGAACTCCAAAAGGATAGTTAATAATAAAATGATTGCAAACTAAAATCCAAACGTTAATTATCTCACAACCACATATTTTGTAAAGGCAAATTACCAAGAGATATTTTGAGCACCAATTTACAAGGGTGAACAACCGTCTCACAACAACACACAACTTATGTGTTGACCCCTATCCTCCTCCACAACCTTTTCCCAGCGGAGCGCCCGACACATGCAGTTCAACACAGAAGCCCACGCAAATACATTCAGACACACACTTCTCAAAACTGACCAAAAAGGCAACAAGACAACAAAAATACTAAGAAATATAACAAGAAAAATAAATGAAATCACCTCTTTTAAAATTTTTATTTTCTTACATTATTGACGTGTCACATTTTTCTCTTATGAGCAAGGACAGAAACGCTTAGAAAGGCACAGAGAAGGGAGTGATAGAGGCTGACTCTGTACCACGAGGGTGAAAGAAAGAAAGAAAGAAAGACAGACAGGGAGGGGAAGAAGAGGGGGGGGTGGGACGCACAGGAAGCACATTTGTATGCATTTCCTCTCATAACAGGAAGAGGCCAGTGGCTTCCCCTTCACAATGGCTTCGCTTCTGCTTCCCACCTCCTGCCTGCTTCCCTGGGGGAGGAGGAGGTGAAGGAAGAGGAGGAGTGGAGAGACAGGCACCAAAAAACTGCTGCTAAGTAAACCAAACATGGCTGTACGAGGACACATAGACACACACACACACACATAGATGTCATTCACCTATTGAGAAGCATTGTGTGTCTCAAGACAAACACTTATCCTATTGTCAAAGCAAAGCAGGAAGACATGGGCTTACGCAAAAGGAATGAGTGGAGCCCGAGACCTTGGTGTGAACTCTGCATCGCAGCCAAAGAGGCAGTTAAGAGAGGCATTATGACAAAAGAGGTTTTGTCCCACCTCTAGCATATTATTTGCTTTTATTCCCTTTAAACCCCCACTTATCATCCTTTTTTCTACTGATGCATGGTAAGAACAGGAGGCAGCAGCAACCAATTCTCGATTCAGTGTCTGGATTCCAAGAAAAGTGTTTAGTAAAACTTGTCAAACGGACAGAATGACATTTTTCAAATTTGCCAGTTTTAGTTACAGGCCTTAAAATGCACGTCTGTTTAGATTGTTCTAACCAGAGCTACTAATTATGTTTCAGTTCAGCTCTGAAATGGATGAGACCCTCTGTATGTTCCTGTTTACACAGAGAGAACCGCAAATGAAAAAAAAAAAAAAAAAGGACTAAAAAAAGTGGATGTTACATTTTAAGGCTCAAGTTAGTGGTCGGAACAACAGAAATAACTTTCCTGTCATTTATAAAAGGAGGATAAACTTTTGCTGTGGCAATAAAGCGGTGGTTGTGCATTACTTTATATTTTACTTCATATCAGTTTATCTTTAACTGCTTATAGCATTTTACCTGCAACCACTTTTATTGCATATCTGTTGAAAGAAATTGAGCTAAATTACTATTATTAAATAATATTTTTACAGGTCATTTGTTTAAACCAAAAAAAAAAAAGTTGTTTATTGAAATAAATTTTAAAAAAAAATATCAAAATTATAATTGGAAAAATAAACATTTGATTTATTAAAAGCAGCTTTAAAAAAATACAAACAACTAGACAAACTATTAAGAGTAAGACAAATAGGAAAACAGTGACTGAGTGGAATAGATTCAAACTCAAAGAAAAAAAAAAGTTGCTGAAAAATGATGTGAATAATAATAAAAACACAGAGAGTGAGAGCTTGGCGAGCCTTTCTCAGGTGAGATCCTGTAGTGCTGAACATATGACAGAAAGGTGTGCCGCTCGCTGTGGTAAGAGAAGGAGATAGTGGAAGGTATAAAAACAGGGAATTAGAGGAGGGGTTCAGGGGTGAGGAGCTACCCTGTGGGCCTCATTATTTTCCTGCTGTTAATTTTTCTCACACATTTTCTCACCCCAGTGCTGTTGATTGGAGGGAAGAATGCCGCTGAAACAAAAAGAGCCTTTATTTCAGCATGAGCGCTGCATCTAATGTGGTTAGGGGAGAGGCAAAGATTATGCCGGGAGGACATTAAATTTATTTATTTTTTAAACGTACCACCAGAAAAGAAAGAAAAGCGGCATGTTTGGATGACTTGTTGTTTGCGAGAGCTGGGAGATCATGTGTTTTTTTTACTTCCTGCCACCGATGACCCGACCCATGTTTAACCTTTGACCCTGGGTCCCTTCCCGGTGGAGCCCACAATGACACACACACGCAAAAAAATACACACAAGCAAGTCACCCTAAATTAAGCCCACTGTGTGTTCTGGCAAGAGAGGTAACACTAATTAGAGCCAATTGCAGCAAATTAGTGGATCCTAGAGACGGGCTCTACAGAGAAAGACGTGTTGTAGATGTCTGCATGTGAATACAAGCATTTGTTTGTAAATCTGGCATAAACAAAAACATTAAATGAACCATCCGAAATATGTATGCGATCGAATAATCTATGTCACACACCTGTGCTTGTATTTTATACTGTGTGCCTGCCTTTCTGCCTGCATGTGTGAGCAGGATCAAGAGAGTCTGCTCTGTGTACAGCCCATGAGTTTATGACACAGGGGGCTCTTTCATGTGCCCAGGGCAGGGAGAGGGTATGAGTGGTCAGGCGGCTTGGAGCCAGGGTTCACACACTGCTGCCCACTGTCCAGAGCTCCGGGCAGCCAGTCAACGCCAGGGAGGCCTAGCCCTTCTGCCACTGCTCTGGGGAAGTGTTTCGGGGCCTGGGAGTGGCGGTCCAAAGTGGCCGCCCAGAGCGAGCCAGGCCCTGCGCCCAGTGTGATGTTGCTGCTGAAAGGGAGCGCAGGGGAGGGGATGCAGTATTGCACTGTAGGTGGCAAGGTAGCGTTGACAGCTGCGCAGAGTGGTGCCACTCCGAAGAGGCCTGCATTATGGAGACAAATGCTCCAGTATATTTTTGAATGAATCATGACTGTACCATTTTTTTTTCAGCTTTTGCTGAATATATTATATATTATATTACCTCTAACGACTTTGGTTTATATTCTGTATACTTTGACAAATTCACCAAAAGTATCTGTGTCACACAGAGACACTTTGAGCGTTTATGATATATGAATGAGTTAAAGTATGTGGAGAATGTGGGGCAGAAGGCAACAGAGTCTCTGATGTTTATTTGGTTTGGGCCTGGAACGTTCCCTCAAAAAGGAAGTGAAAACATGCAAAAAGGCAAAGCTTCCGTTTTTGTTTTTTTTTACTTTTCTCTTTAAAGAAGAAAATTTAAGTTTCTGTCTTTGCCCCCCATCTTGTGATGTCCGCCTCCTCAAAACAAAATGATGTCACTTCTTTGTAGGCTGACGGTTGCATGACAGCCAACTCAAGCGTGTGGTGCTTTCCACATGACTTAATGATATCATGTCATGAAGATTTGTTTTTCCAACCAAACAGCTACGTGATTAATCCATTATTTCCTAAATGAAAACAACAAAGTCCAGTGAAGTATTGATTTTTCTTTCTGTGAATCTTTTCTCTGCTGTGTTAGGTTTCCTCTCCTTCCTCCTCTCCCCCTGTAAGTAAAGCCCAGATATCTCAAGCATCGATTCCCCTCAGGTGTTCTTCCTGTCTCCCTCTTTCCCTCCTTCTCTGGAGTCAGAAGGCTGGGTGCAGCTTACAGGCCCAGTCTAAGGTGGAATGAGGGTGAGGACCTGAAATAACAGTGAGGAAAGTGGCTGCTGCGGCAACATGATCGTTGTGCAACATTCCTGTGACCTCCTCTTACTCCTGTCCTGTCTCTTTATCTGCCTGCTTCTTTATAGCAAAATATTTTGGAGTATGATCAAATACTCTAACATCCTGTCTGCATTTTTTACTTTACATGAAAACACTTCCGTCAGTTTTGGTTGTTCAGTTACCTTAAATGAACCCTGTTTCTGAGGTGAACTCACAGTAAAATTGTAATAACATGAAGACTGTTCTCCATTTTAAAGTTCAGGTGCACTATTTTTTTTCACACTCATTTTTTTATTTTATTTTAAATTAACTCTTCTAATGAAGTGCAATGAGCTTCTGAATGTGTCTTAACTACCGTCACAAATTACTGCATTTGATGAAGTGGCCCCTTTGAAACGAACGGTGGGAATCGCTGTCGATGTCAGACGATAAAGATGCTTCGAAATGGGTCTGTGTACGTGTTTGACCTGTGATCCAGGGGCCACGTTAGCAGCGTATGGATCCAATTGGGCTGCCAGGAAGCTGACAAAGTGTCAGTGGTCAACCATGCCACAGGAAGTGATCGATTGTAGGCCTCAAGGGCACTAGGAGAGCTCTGTCTCTATCTATTTCCTGTCACAGACGGTAGGGTCTACTCAAATCTCCCCATCCACTGTTTATTATGTGTCTCTCAAGTGATGCCAGCTGTTGTTGAAAACAGCTCTCACAAGGAATTTTTCTCAGATCTGTTTGTTTGTTCAAATATACCATAGATTTCTTAAATAGAAAATAAATCACTTTTCATCCACTAAGCTACAGTTCTAGTTGCTGATTTGCTTTAAGGAAAAAAAAAAAAAAAATGACTTCAGCATTTGCTGCTCTTGTTTGTGTCACACTTGACCATCTAGTTTCTGTTTGTTTGTATTTGGCTCCATCCTGCTTTTCTGGTGCTACCACCCTCTTCTTGGTAATCTTCCACTGGCACAAGGTGGCGTAGTGTGAGGGCCCCGGGTGTGTGAAGGGTGCCTCAGCTGCGTGTAGGCTGCGTCCATCTGACAACACAGTAATGCTAAAATAATTTTTAAAAAGTACAAATGTCCTCAGAACACTTTAAAGGGTGAAATATGTTCTTGATGTGCTCATGCTGGTTTGTTAGTCTGAACACAAACAAGTCGACTACTTCAACCCTTTCATTAAAACCAATATCTGTGCTTTTCCTTCATGCTCTCTTCGGATCCTCGGTTCACATATTGCCCAGACTCCCTGAAGACCTTCATTGTTGAGGGCTATGCTGGGGTGTAGGGTGTTTCTCCTTGCTCCCTCCTCCAGCCTTTCTCTCCCCCTCATTCTCATACTCATCCATCCTCCTACCCCCCCAGGGACGTACCTGTCTGTTGCGTTCATCCATAATCCGCGTGATCTGAATCTTTTTCCTCCCCATCGTCCCCGTCTCTTTCTTTCTCTCCTCTTTCTCAAAGAACTCGAACCTTTCTTCTCTTGCTTCTTTCCTCTTCTGTCTCTTCTTTCTCTTCTTCTCTTCCTTTATATCTCTTTCTTTTCTCTGCTTTCTATTTGTTTCAGTCAGCTCAAAGATTCCAGCATCTGTACCTGCAAGAAAGAAGGGAGGGGTTGGAGAGAATAAGCGTTAAATGAAATGAAATATGGCAAAATAGTGAGTGAAAAAAAATATATAAAAGTGGCATCATGGCAGCCACAAGGGAGGGTGAAGAAAGACAAAGAATCTGTCAACAACTATGCGAGAACCACTGTGTTTTTCACTGTCGATATCATGCAAATCAGTTTTTGCATTTTTCTTTTCAAGGCACCTTCTATGAGAGGAGACAGCGCTGTCAGGATCTTGCCTCGTTCTTTGACAGTGTTTTGGATGTGCCGCTACCTTAAACGCTCTAATCACCAACACTGTAACATTACCTTCCACACAGAGAAATACATTTTGTTTTTTCCCTTGAAGCAGCACTGTATTGACATTGGAACTGCCAACCACCAACTTTTTCCCCCCATTTTGTTAGCAACCCATGACCAAAAAGGCAGATGTGACCTGAGGAATAAAATGTGTAATACTAACCTCAGTTTTATCATGTTCTGGCAAACAAAGCCATAAGAAAATAATGGACTTAAACAGTTTCAAGAGTGTGCTTTTAAAAATACTGGAAAGTTTGGAGCATTTGAGGAATAGTGAACAACTGTGCTTGTGTTAGTGCACAGATGAGGGTACAGATGTGCTTCACAGGTGGAGCCCAGCAGCTGATATTGCTGGACTGCATGTGTGAAGAAGAAAGCTGCACTCGAGAAAGTTTGAGTGGCCATCCATGTGCATGCATGCATGTGTACATATGTGTGTGTGCACTTTTGTGTGAGCTTGGCTAAGCTGGAGCTCCAGTGCATCTCTCTCTAGAGTGCTAAAGTAGGCCAACCCAATCTATCTCAGGGAGGAGCAGAAGAACTGTTGTTGTGTTTTCTTTTGACAGTAGAGGTGATAACGTCCCTCGTTATGCAAATGAGCATCCCATTATTTAAGCTCAGTGCAATGCAGGGGAGCTGTCAGCGCCGTCACATAAAAAAAAAAAAAAAAAAAAACTCCATCTACCCTGTTCTTTTTTCTCTGCTTTCCCCTTCTTCTCTCTTCTCTCCTTTCTGAACCACATTTCCGGCACCTGGCAGCACAAGCATCAGACATTGATGTGGAAGACGACACCACTTCACCAAAAGACATGTCAGTCTCAGTCTCTCTCTCTATCACTCTCTGTCTCTCTTTTCTCAGACACCCTTGCTCTTTTCCTCACTCTCTCATATTCTCTCCTTTGCATATTCCCATACATGTACTTGCACATTATAATGCACATTCTTTCTGTTTTTTCCGTCCTCTTCTAAGTTGAACACATGTATTTAATAAGTAGGAGGAAGCACTGGGAAGATCTAAATCTCTTAGTTGTGGTGTGTTGCTGTGCACTTGACCTTTTTGTGCTATGGAGTAGGACATTGATAATGAAAGCTTGTAATAGCGACATCCAGGGATGCTGTGGCTCCTACTGACAGACCGAGGCCTGTGGCAACAGCACATGACAGTAGATTTTTCCATGTGCAACAGAAAATACTTTTTTGACCTTTTTATAAAACTCTATCACAATTTGCAGTGCACTGATGTTTGGCTTATTTAGACATAAAACACCACAATTAGGAGTCCCTTAAGAGTTCAAATGAAAAATAATTTAATATTTTCCCTCAAACTTCCATGACTTGAAAAGAGAAACTATGCGAGACAATACAGTCAATCAAAAGATTTCCTGAGATGATGATTTGGAATACACCCACCTATGCAAAAAACCAAAATGCGAGCATAAAGTCTTTGTTTGGCACTTAGAACAACAATCAGATTGCTCCATCACAATAACAAGATCTAAAATAACACTGTGGCAGTTCTGAAGTGACTATCCAAAACACTTTAGCATTGCTCTGCGCAAACACACCCATCCATAGACAGAAAAACAAAGAGCTGCCCTCTGGTACAAAACAAAAAAGGATGTTGTCAGACAAACCAGGATTACAAGCCGGCACTAAGGCGCTTGGCACAAGACAGCCAGACAAGGATATCAATCAAGCCGGTGTACCTCAATCACAAGCTGACAGCATCATCCCCCTCCCAGTCTTTGTACTCAACACTACCCAGCCTGGGCATTGCTCCAAATGAGGAGGCATTACCTCCATGATCCCTGCCTGCTGGCCTCCACCTCCTCCTTGTTCATCCTGCAGCTCACTAAGCAGAGCTGATGTCAACACCCGCTGGGGTAACACCTTAGGCCTTACGTAACGTTAACACTGAGATTAAGCCTGTGTCCTGAACATTTAATCCCAGGTTTTGGCTCACAGCACTAGCCAGCGCTCCCCGAGGTGAGGTTCTGCTGCCACTTAGCCCCGTATTGATGCCTCCACCGGCTCAGCCAGCTCCCCTCATGCCTTTTCATCTGTGCCTCGTCTACCTCCTACACAACAGGGCACGTTGCCTTCCTTCCATCCCCTCTCCTCTCCCCTCTTCTTTCTCTTGCCACCAGCTCCCCCCACCACTTTTCCTCACACCCGCCCCCGTCCCATATGAGAGCCAGACAGCTTCTGGTTAATAAGTGGGTGCCCACCTCCTCACCGGGCTCCTTTCCCTTTCCTACTCGTATGGTGGATAGAGCATCATTTAACTTAACAGATTACCACTGACTCACTAAATCCAATTTAGCCTCATGACGCCAAGACTGAAAACGGGTGGGAACTGCAGGAAACAAGCAATGCTTACTGAACTCACTCAAGTGTTGTAGCACTTTAATTCCCAACTGGATTGTTTTATTTTATTTTATTTTTGCGGGCCACCTACAATGATATTTGACCCAATCGGGGCAAATAAGGTAGAGAAAGTAACGAAAGGAAATGTGAAAACAGAAAAATAAATAAATGTGGAGAACAGACTTTTTATCTATTCTGTGGACTTTGACTAAGGGTATGCCTATATTAACACTGGCCTGGTACTGGAAGGGGACCAGCATGGTGAGGTCAAAGGTCACACTAGCACCAAGCAGACAGAAGGACAACAGTTGCTCTGCTTGTTTTACATCTTCTAGCGTCGAGTTGGAGAGGTGACAATGAAAAGCAAGAAGAGCGGTGAGAGGAAAACAGAGAAATTGAGTGAGGAAAAAGGAAATGGAGTGAAGCATAAAGAGGGATCTTTTTGAACAGGCACCGTGCCTGTCCAGGGGGAGGGGGGAAAAGCTGTACCCACGACCCTCCCATCTGTTAAGCAGACGGATGGAGAAAGAGGGGGAGAGATGAAGACTGGTGGGGGGGAATAGGGAGGGAGTAGAGATTCAGCACATAGATCTAATGAGCATTTTCTCTCCATGTCTCAGAAGTGAAGCTGAGAGGACAATGAGAACATATACGCACAGAGCACCACAAGGCTTGATTCTAGGTCGCCTCTCTCCCAAGTGTTTAGTCACTAAAAACTAATATACACCACACGGTGCTTTTTCACATCGTAATTGATGTTTGTAGGGTGCTTTACACTGATGTGGTTTTAATATAAAGGACATAAACTGAAGACATGTCCTTTAAATGAAGTGGACAGTAGAAAAGGAGGAACTTGAACTCTGTGTCATGAACAACTTATTCATCATTTTGAAAGACTGCTGCTGAGCTGTGTTTGTGAATGAGGAAAATAGACATGACAAGAAATGTACGACAGCCCTAATCCAAGAAAAAAGTTGTGAACAGTTATTTGCTGAGATAATGTCTGAATTTTGAGAAAGAACAGGAAGATTTTCAGAATCAAAGAACCACTCCTCTAAATGTGTACTGCATGCTGAATTCTCGCTGATCCTGCACTTCCAGGCCCTAATTCTAGATGTTAGAGCAAATTGGGGAAGGTCATTTATCATAACAGAAATGGCCGTGTTTTTACTCCACCTCAACGATACAAGGTACATCTGTAACACATTTGGTCACAGGGCATGTTTGTGTATCTAAAACGGTTCATATAGTTTCAAAAATAAATGTCTGAGCTTTACAGTGTTGCAATCGAATGGCCGCTGTGCTGTGTAAAGTACTTTTTCTGATGTAGTTTGCATCTTTGTAAATCCTTATCCAGGGGAGTCACTTCAACTCTGATTTTACTTTTTATTTTTTGTGTGCACAAGAATATCTCAGTACTGATGGAAGGGCACTCTCGCTTGATGTTCATTGTTCTTGGTAGACAACGAGTCACTGAATAGCTTGATGGTAGTAAAACTATTAAGTGGAGCTATGACTTTTGCAGTCATAAGATCTTAAATTTAAAATGAACACCTTGGAAACTTCTGACCAAAGTTTTACACAGTGTTTACCTGCATCATCATCAAAATATATGCGGCAAAGACAAATTTAAACTACTTCAGGTAACTTTTAATGAGTTGTACGGTACATTGAATCAACCCCTTTTTCTTAGGACAAACTACCGTTTCCTTCCGGAGGAGGATAACACGTTTTAAAATAGTTATCTGAATACATTTCTTTACTTTAATTTTATAAATTCTTTGAATGATATTTTGTGTGTTTCAGCTACGAGCATGTTTGCTGTGCATGAATGAATTTGTGTATGTTTATTCTTCTGATTTGGAATTAGTGGTACACTGCAGCTTTATCTCTGGTAAGGGTGGAGGGAGATAAAGTATACCAGCACAAATGAGGGGAAGGGAAGGATTGAGGGAAGGATTGAGCAAAGGAGCAAGTCAATGGTCGATCAGGATGGAACAGAAAAATATGTACCAGGTCTCATTGTGTCTCTAATGTCATTACAGGCAGTGACTCCTCTATGTGGCATGCCACACTCTCCATCTGTCAGGGGGAGATAGGCAGGGTGACGAATGGCTATCACTGTTACTTTTCTCATCCCCCACCACCCACATCCCTCATTTCAGTATCTTTTCTGAGCACAGGGGGGAGAAGAGTGACCTGAACCTGGGCGGTAGCCCACACGTAGGTGGGCATCTATGAATCTGAATCTCGGCAGATATTAGTGCTAATTTAACATGTTAGCAGCTAAAGAGATTAGCAACATGTACATCTGGGGA